AAATAAAACTAATTCTTTAAAAATAAACAAACAAGTAAGGTGAGTTGAATTCCCTTCAATGATGATAATCAGGATTGATGGTGAAAGGAGAAAGGTCATATGTGGAAGTTGCTAGAATCTCCTGCCCATGTGTAGCTTCCATGGCACGGAAAGTTACTAGTCTAGGGTGGAAGAGAGGCCATATAATCAGTCCCCACCCCCCACAGACAAATGAATTTCTAGGGAGTATCTAACAACAACTGGGTCGACAATGGAGGGTATGTGCAACAGAAGGAAAACAGGAAGAGACAACAAAATGCCTCATGCTTTGAAAAAAGCATCTGGGGAAACAGTGTTGCTTGCTCTATAATAGCAAAAATCTCATTAGAAATCACTTCTATACTCCACTTTATAATGTATCATCAAAGTCAGGCCTTAAAAGTGGGGTGGGATGCGAGGGATGGTTATGTCTTTACCTGCAAGGCTGAAAAGCAAAAACAAAACAAAACAAAAGCCAAGTAAATGCAGTTGTGCCCCTAAATTTCTAAGTCTTGTCTCAGAATTTGGTTGGTCTTATATGGAGCCCTCACCAAACCACAGGCAGGGAGGATCCAGCTTCATAAAACACCTACCACTGATCCTGCTGGGCTCAAAGGAGGGAGGTGCTTCTACCAGCAGGAAGGGAGGTAACAGCAGAACCACTTAGCAAGTAAAGCTGTCCCAGCTGCTTCCTGGACAGTGGCAAATAGATACAGGAGATTAGAAGACACAAGGATGCAGGCAGGTATAAAGCACAGTAGAGAAACAATTTGAAAAGCCTTAGTGGAACCCTGAGAGTAGCTAAGCTTTCAGATTTCTGTCTCTGTTTCATGTGCAAAGCCAGATTATGGGGAGGGAATCAACTTGGATTCCCTATGAGGTCTTTTCTCTCCGTCACTCAGACAGTCTTGCTTCCCCACCAGAGACACTGTGAGAGCCAGATGTACCCTGCACGGGCAGAGGTTGGTACCACAGGAGAACTACCCCAAATTATGAATCTTGGGAGTGTCTCCCTTATAAGATCCTTTTAAAGTAGAAATAGCCTCACAATCCTAAAACAGATGAAAGGTCAGACAGACATTCTCTCCCCAGTTCACATGGACTGTTTAATAATGGTCAAGAAGCAGAACAAGCCCCATTCTTAACCATGTTTTATCATGAATTGCCAAATGACTTATGGCTCTGATGGTGGGGACCTCCACCAAGTAGAAGAAAGGGATTACTCAAACCCAGTGGGCTTCCCTGGTTGTGCAGTGGTTGAGAGTCCGCCTGCTGATGCAGGGGATGTGGGTTCGTGCCCCGGTCCGGGAAGATCCCACATGCCGCGGAGCGGCTAGGCCTGTGAGCCATGGCCGCTGAGCCTGCGTGTCTGGAGCCTGTGCTCCACAATGGGAGAGGCCACAACAGTGAGAGGCCTGTGTACAGCAAAACAAAACAAAACAAAACAAAAAAAATAAACCCAGTATATCAGGAGGCCCAAGGCAGGCACTGAAGACACTGTGGGCGAACCTCTTACAAGTTCTAGGTATGAATTACTATTTAAAATTTTTGGTTTGTGAAGAACATTGCACATGGGGTCCAGGATTAGGGAAGAGTCAGGAAACCTGTCACTGTGCAACACACATGGGAAAATGACCAGAGAACACATTCTTTCAGCATTTAGGTTCTAGATCCACATACATTTTCCTTTCTACAGCAGCCCTAATCACAAATGAAAGATTACTTTCACTTTAAATATTAGCAAAGGTTATTTCCTTGCATGTCTGAGAAACAGATGCAAAGGACTGAGTACACACACCCAAAAATACTGGAACCAACTCCTCTCCCCACCTGTCTGCTGTCCTGATTTCTCAAGGTCAGCCACACCCAGGATTCCCCTTTTCTCATGCCGAGGCTTTCAAGTTTTCACAGGCTGGAATGTAGCATGAGCAAACCCAATGATTTTCAAAAGAGAATGATCTTATTTTCCTAAAAGAGCTTTCAGCCTGTTAGACACGTTCAAGGGTATTTTTCATTTTTAGCTTATAGGAATCTAATGATTTTAAAAACAACCATAAAAATCAAAGCTACCTGTCACTCTCAAATCTTAATGACTTCTAAGGTATGCACGGCATGGTTGACAAGCCAGGTTGGTGTTTTTTTCCCCTATGCTGAGCACTGAGGGCAAAGAAAGCAAGATGCTCTAGTTCTGCCATCTGTTAAAAAAGAATAGCCATACTATTCCATTTTGATTCTTTATCACAAATGTATGTCAGGGAGATTAAAACAGTCCCTCTAGTCTTTGAAGACACTTTAGGATGAGGATATTTTTTCTAAGATGATGTGCTGGCAAAGTTATAGCAGTAGCAAGCAAAAATGTGTTTCCAGATCAATCCCTGGAGAAGAACCCATGGACAGTGCAAGGAAAAGGAGCTTAATTGATGGAATTCAACCTATAATTTTGAAGAGAGGACCATGGCCCACATAGGTAAAGTGATCTGCCTGAGGCCAAACAGAGCCAATATGATCCTTCTAGAGTTCAGTGCTCCTGCCCCCACATCTCTAATCCTCTGTGCACCTCTGCAGGATGCTGCAGTCCTATCAAACATTCTGGGGCTGTGGTTATAGCTATGGGCACTGAGGCTGCAAACAGCATAGCCTGCAGCTCACCATTCATGCCTGATGACAGGACTAAGTGGAGGTTCAGATGCCTGCCTCAACACACCAGGATTTACTCTGTTAAAATAAAAAAGTGCTGTCAGTACAACACATGTAGGGCATTTCTCACAAGGCAATAAGTTCTGATTCTTCTCTCCTGTAAGATATTCTCAAGCCTGGTTAACAGAAACCACATAGCTCAAACAGCAGCAGTAACACTTAGAAGATGCTCTCCAATAGCAAAATAATGCAAGGCACATATGTAATTTAAAATGTTCTAGCACCCACATCAAAACAGTATTAAGAGAAACAGGTAAAATGAGCTTTAGTACCTTATATAACTTAATGTATCAAAAATGTTATTGTTGCAATACGTAATTGATACAAAATTTGAGATTTCATTCTAAATGTTACTTACTTAGGGGATCCTCCTTTTAACAGACCTTTTTTTCTGTTTTTACCAAGTGATGTTAACTAGCAGACATACTCCAGCCCAGACTCACAGTAAAGGCATTTATTGGGCAGGTACCACATGCTAGATCCATAAAAGGCACTCGCTAGGGACTCAGAACTCCCAAGGCAAGACTAAGGAGGCAGGTTATAGACATGGCACATAGAAGAAAACAGATACCAGAAGATTTTAAGGTCACACAGCTAATCAGTGCCAAGGCAGAAAGAAACCAGATCTGATGGCAACGCCTGTTCTCTTTCTATTCTCTTTGTGCCCCACCTGCTTTCTTGAGAGCCAGTATGTGAAACATCTACATTTACTACATGTGAGAAAAAGATCTGGGAAATGCAACAGTGTACAGTTACACCACGTAAGTAACATATCAATCCCAGGCTTAGTATCCAAGCCAAACTTTTCCTTCCAGTAACATCTACCATACTTTATAAATCCAAATCATTCTAGAGTTTTGTGCACTGCATTATTAAAAAAACCACATTGCACCCATTTTCTTAGGTCATTACCCCCAAATACATGTCTTTGACGGCCATAGAGATTTTGATCAAGATGTCCCCTAAACACAAACTCCAGCCTCCCTTTCCCTTCGAACAATCATGTTCACTCAGTCACTCAAAAAATACTGACTGAGCAACCACGGGCCAGGTAGTATTGTGGGTGCTGGGGATAAAGTGGCAAAGAGGACATATGGGGTCCGTGCCCTCACACGGCTTACATTCTAGAGGGGAAGATGAAAAACATACAGTGTCAGGTGCAGAAAAATGATAGGAAAAATGAAAGGGGAGGGGCATGTAATGATTTTAGTCTATCCTCATTATTTATTAGGTTGAACCACATGAAATTACTGATATTCAACCATTTCTAGCTTACAGAACAGGCAATTTCATTTGGTTCAAGCTAATAGCTTCATTTCATCAGGTAACATTCAATGCTTCTGATGGACTAGGGAATATTTAAATACCTGAAAAGCAGAAGGCGCACAGAATAGGACTGAATAAACCTTTCTTCCATAACAGTCAAGGTAGGAGAGGCGTTGGGTACAGCGAGCCCAGAGTTAACAGACTGGAAGAGTAGGATGGACTGAGGTGATGGTCGGGGTGAATGGATGCGGGACGCTGATAGGAGCTACCAAGTGGTTTACTCTCTGTGGTACTTCTTCCCACCACTCTGGCTCAAGTAGCAGACTGCAGTTACCTGTCTCCATCCAGAGCATTCTGGGAAGTGGTTACTTCCCCCAGGAATGGGAGGTGGGGGCAGCAGGAGGATGGGATCCCTAGGACACCACCCCTTTTCTTATGACTTCTTCAACTACTTCTAAATGCAGAGAAAGCCCAGGATCTTGGTAGTCCATTATTGTTCAATATTTTGGTAAAGGAACATTATAGATTCCTTGTGCAATTAAGTAACAGAAAATGCCTAGCTCAGGAACCAACTATTGATCTTAACATCACGAAAAGACAACCAGACATTATGTGCCTCCTGATATGATGCAGAAAGATTCTCACCAAGAATTCAAACCTGGTTCCGATCAGGCCTCCGCAGTGAAGCACTGGTTTACGGTAAACACAGGGGACAGGGGAAGACACTAAATGAGACTTAAGGATGCAATCAGTAAAATCCAGCATGTGAGGAGACTATAGGACAAAAAAGAAAAAAAAGGCTTCTCTGGACCCTCATTTCAACAAACCAACTACAAATAAAAAGTCTATGAGACAACAGGGAAAAAGAGAACACTGCCTAGACATCTAATACTAAGGAAATATTAAGTAATTTGTATCTGTGGGCCTGTGTCCCCTTTCCCACAAGTCCCCACACATTGTCCACTTGAGCTGAGAACGACTGTACAGGAGGAACCTGAGCATTTTAGACGACTGCTCACCTGTCAATGAACTGATCAATAATGACGATATCGCCAGGCTGAATTTCTTCCTTCAAGGAACCGCAAGCTGTGGTCACTATGACATGTGTACAGCCCTCCTCCTTCAGAGCCCAGATGTTTGCCTGATAGTTGACTTTCGAAGGCATGATGGTATGCTGCCTCCCATGCCTAAGGAAAGAGAGTAAATATATTAAATATGGTAGAGGAGTGAGCAGGGCATTTTTGTTTGTTTGTTTGTTTTTTTGCAGTACGCGGGCCTCTCACTGCTGTGGCCTCTCCCGTCGCGGACCACAGGCTCCGGATACGCAGGCTCAGCGGCCATGGCTCACAGGCCCAGCCGCTCCGCGGCATGTGGGATCCTCCCAGACCGGGGCACGAACCCGTGTCCCCTGCATCGGCAGGCGGACTCTCAACCACTGCGCCACCAGGGAAGCCCGAGCAGGGCATTTTTAATACTCTTGGAAAAGAAAACTCATTTACAGCAGTGCCTTCCAGCCCTTCCCACCAAAATGCTTTCCTTGGCAGAGGAAGAGTGAGAACAGGCCAGGCAATAACCAGCCTACTTTAAGTATAAACTATGTGGTTTTAAAGTGCAGACTCGGGACTTCCCTGGTGGTGCAGTGATTAAGAATCCGCCTGCCAGTGCAGGGGACATGGGTTCGAGCCCTGGTCCGGGAAGACCCCACATGCCGTGGAGCAACTAAGCCCATGCGCCACAACTACTGACCCTGCACTCTACAGCCCAAGAGCCAAAACTACCGAGCCCACGTGCCACAACTACTGAAGCCCACGCGCCTAGACCCCGTGCTCTGCAACAAGAGAAGCCACTGCAATGAGAAGCCCGTGCACCACAACGAAGAGTAGCCCCTGCTCGCCGCAACTAGAGAAAGCCCGCACGCAGCAACGGAGACCCAACATAGCCGAAAATAAAAATAAATAAAATGCAGACTCAATTTACATTTCATAGTTTACTTTCCTATCAAGAGTAGGTAATAGCTTACTTAGAATTCACTCTCCAGGAAAATATGCCATGTCTATCCTGTGGGGCACCAACACCCCAGAATCTGAGGCATCTGGTCTCTCATAAGCCATGACACGGAAAACAAGAGGTGCCAAGGAAGAAACACCCAAAATAGAAACTCAAGTTTCCAGTCTAATCTCTCTATTCTTTTCTGCCCGATCACCCAAAGAAATTAATGAAACATTTAAAATATTAGATTTCCCAGTTGTTTATGTTGACATCAGCAGGTATGGTCCAAGAATGGATCACCTCACTCATCATTACTGTTATGGGCTGAATTATGTCCCCTCCAAATTCTTAGGCTGAAATCTGAACCCCCAGTACATCAGAATGTGACCATATTTGGAGACAGGGTCTTTAATGAGGTAATTAAGTTAAAATGAAGTCATTAGAGTGGGTCCTAATCCAACACGAATGGCGTCCTTATAAAAAGACACAGACATACACAGAGAAGAGCATGTGAAGATACAGGGAGAAGACAGTCAGGTACAAGCCAAAGAGAGGGGCCCGGAACAGATCCTTCCCTCCCAACCTCAGAAGGAACCAACCCTGCTGACCCCTTGATCTCCGACCTCTACCCTCCAGAACTGTGAGGAAACAAATTTCTGTTTCCACTCAGTCTGTGGCACCTTGTTATGGCAGCCCCAGCACAGTTAACACAACCACTAATGATTTCGTGTCACGCTTCAAACAAAATCCAAACACTCTGCCATGGCGCTCGTATCATCTGTGCCCAGCCTACAAACAGCAACGTCAGTCCTTACCTTTATCCCTTCCCACCGGGGCTCAGCCTCACTGGCCTTGCTGCTTAGCTCCCACATCACCTCCCCAGAGGAGTGCTTTCCATGACCACTGCATCTCCATCACATCACTACCCGCTGACCTTATTTTTCTTTCTGGCACCTATTGGCCACTCAAACTATGTATTTCCTTCTCAGTGTCAATCCTTCCCACTAGCATCAGCCCTGAGACGGTGAAGCCCTTATCTGTCTTCCCTGCTGGTACCTAGAACTGGACTTGCCATATGAGTAGTTCAATCTGTTGGATGAAAAACTGAGTACTTACACACACACTCTTTCCCCCTATCTCTCTCACACACCCACACACACACCCACACCCACGCAGTGTGCCAGTAAACAGCCAGTAATGGGAACTTGATTTCTAAAATTATTTTTAAAAATTCACACGTTAGAGGGTATATTTATAAGCAGTATTTCACAGAAAGTTAAAATTATCCTGAGCTGCTTGAAAAAGTACGAACACCACAGGTAATTTTCTGCCACAGGAAGGCTAAAGTGTCAAGAGACCAGTGGTCTTCACATGTGGTAATACAGAAACAGGCTTTCAAGGAAGTAACAACACACAAAAATCTCACTTTGTACGATAATGATTAAAAGTTTGGGCTTTGAAGTAAAACTGCCTGGGTTCAAATCCTAGGTCTGCCACTTACTAGCTGTGTGACCTCATCAAAATCACTCAGCTTTCTCAGCCCCCAATTTTCTTTTTTTCTGATCTGTAAAATGGATAATAAAAAACCCTGCACCACAGGGTTTCTATCCAATATCCCTTGTATCATTCCATATTGATATTTTGAAATAAACTTTAATGTATCTTCTTCACCAACAACAGAATTAAGAATATGGAAATAATTTGTACATAATTGCAGACAAGCATTAGCATATCAGGGTTTTTACCCCAAGGTCATAAACGACCTCTCAGAAGGTAGAAGTCCATGAATGCCCAGAAAGTATGGTAGTCCCCGCTTATCCACAGGAAATGCGTTACAAGACCCCCCTGTGGCTGCTTGAAACTGCGTATAGTACTGACCTCTATATATGCTATGTTTTTTTCCTATACTAACAGGTGGGTGGTGTACACAGTGTGGATACGCTGGACAAAGGGATGATTCCTGACCCGAGCAGAGGGGGTCAGATGGCACAAGATTTAAAACTTATGAATTGTTTATTTCTAGACTTTTCCATTTAATACTTTTGGACCACAGTTGACTATGGGTAACTGAAACCGTGGATAAGAGGGGACTACTGTACATGCATTTTTTCTAAGGCTGGTCTCCAAATCTCTGATTAGATTTTCAAAAGAAATTCACATATCAAAAGGAGTTAAGAACCACTGCATAAAGTGGTTCACAGTCCAACACACTTCAGTTCAGCTGGCAAGAGTATAAAACCTTCACCATGGGGCTACAACACGAACCATTTTCTCTTACAGTCTGGAAAAAATTAAGCGTTTCTCCAGCAATGACCACAGACCAACAAAGAAGGTTGCCTGAAATCAACCCTATGCGACCATCTAGAACTAAAATTTAGTTTTACTGGACTCAGCAAAGCCACTTCCGTTTCAAAAATGCAGTGTGGCAGACAGACCCTAGGGTGGTCTTCATTTTCATGCTCTGAATAATTCCTTCCTTCTCGAATGTAGGTGGACCTGAGATACTTCCAACCAACAGAACACAGCGGAAGGTGCTGGGAGTCACTCCCATGATCAGGCCCCAGCCTGCCAGCATGCACTACCTGGCCCTCCTGCTGGCCTTGCAGCAGCAAGCTGCTGTCTTGTGAACTGCCCACGGGGAGGGCCACAAAGCAGGGAACATGGACAGCCTCTAGCAGCTGACGGCCTCAGTCCTTCAACCCTGAGGAACTGAGTTCTGCCAACTCCTACATGAGCTTGAACGAGGACCTGGAGCTCCAGATAAGAACAAGCACTTAAATATACCCATGTGACCCTGAAGAGGACCCAGAAGAGGACCCACACTCCGGTTACCTGGAAACTGCGGGATAATGTATGCTGTTTCAGGCTGCTAAATTTGTGGTCATTTGTTATGCAGCAATAGAAAGCTAATACATGCAGTCTGACTAATTTCTAACTGTGTGATAAAATGACTTGCTCCTCTCTTTAGGGAACAGCACAAGCCTTGTCAAGGCAATAAGGGTGTAGACACCACAGAGAAGCCAGTTTGGCGACCCGAAACCCACTCCCCACAAATCTAGGACTATTACTACACAAGGGGTCATGAATGAAGCAGTTTTTCTTGATCTTGTTATAACTAGAAGATAAAAGACAGAAAAGAACAAAAGAAAACATTTCCTCTTGCAGCTAGAACTGAAAGCAGAGCTTCAAGTTTAGTCAAATCATTGCATCACTCATTGGATTGTTCTAAACATTTTCCCAACCTAAGGGGGGATAGGCAAGATCTTTAATCTCCAAAGTCAGTAAAACCTACCCTGAAACTGTAAGCGATAAAGATGACTCAGATGCTATGGCTCCACCAACACATTAAAAACTCATACCTGCATCATTACTCTTTTCACAATTTAAGTTAAATTTAAAATGTTCTTTAGTAGTAACATTCAAAAGCTTGAAATACGTTACCTTGCAAGGAGGACGCAATCAACATTCTTTATCTTCCCCAAAATTAAGGCATCAGAAGGCTGCACACAGTGAAAAATGGTTACAAGTCAGTGATTTAAAAACACATATAGAAACAATCAAAAAGCTGCCATTTCAATTGTTCATCTGTAGTAGGATTCATAGAAACTTGGGGTCTGAGGGTATATTTCAAAGTAAAAGAGTCTAGATTTGATGGATCAACTTAGTCACTCAATATTTTACTGAGCCCTCTCTACCAGTACAGAGATTCGTAAGACTTAGAAGCGTGCGTGGGTAGGTACCATTTAGTAATATCTATTTGTAGCAAGCACCCCTGGGGACTCTGACGCCACACTGATCATACACAGATGTGTCAAGGCTATTTGGCAGGTTCAAGAACAGGTGTGAGAGTGAAATGCAAAAGGAACAGGAGGCCCCTATCAGGGAATTTAAGAACTCAGCACTGGAACCATTTGCTGTGTTAACCAGGTCTAAGATGGCCACAAGATGACCTCAGGTAATGGAGGAAAAGGTCTGAGAACCTAGGAGGTTAAGAAAACATGAGGCTAAGAAGTGAGCAAGCTGACAGCAGGACTTGGAGGATACCGGATCAAATCTAAGGACTTGGCTGAAAAGGAGGGTTTGGTTGGGATTGCCAAATACAGGGATCTTCGTAGGAGGATCAGAGGAACCACAGCATTTGGAAGTAGCCCTATGGAGTTAGGAGAAGGCAGACACCCTCACCCTGACTGGGAGAACTAAACAGCCTCCTTTTAATAGAAAAGGAGGAGTGTTTTATTTCCAATTCAGTTATGCAGTTGTGTTCTCAGTCCCCCCAAAATCCCCCTTTGGGCCAGGGCTTACTAAAAAGGCCATATTTCCTCCCATTTGTTAAAGACTGTGGTATGACCGATAGGCCCCAAATTAGAAGCTGATTTGAATGCAGTGATCTGGAGAGTACAGTTCCTGTGTTTGAAATGAGCATCTGGCTTCTAGGGATATAATTAAGAAATTATTTGTACACATTTAAAAGCCATGTTCTTAGTAGTCAAGTCCAAGGCAATCTCAGGGATACTGTCTCAGTTGGCAGAGCCCAGTAACAGAAACTCCTGGCCTCTCTCAGCCTGGGGCAGGCAGCCCTGTGCTGCCAAGACAAAAGCAATTTAAAAAAAATTTTTAACTTAAAAATCAAGACAGCAAGGAGAAAGAAAAAAGCTAGTATGTCTCCACTAACTGGATATTAACCTTGCCAAATGGAGTGTCCACATATTTTTCGGTTCTTCCTTCTAAGATTTCTGGATCATCCAGGCCTGTCCCACCAATTATTCCAATCTGAAGGAGACAATAAAAAGATATCACATTTGATCAGTTTGCAGTAGAAACAAAATCATTATTTTAAGCAAATTCGTTTATCCATACTCATATGCTCTTCTCCATTCCTGGTAAGCCCTAGTTATTTTAAAAATCTGAACATTCCTGAAAAGCAATCATTTATTCAGCAAACATTCGAAAGCCTTCTATATTCCAGAAATAACCAAAGCATGAGTCACCTTTTCCGACTAAATCACATTTTTGCTGACTATCTGAATAACAAATTAGCATGGAAACGTACTTCAACTAGTTTAAATCATAAAGCCAAACCTAAAAATAGGTAAATATGGTTGGAGAAAGTACTTTCTAACCAATTTTATTATCTCTACTAAATGCGTGATGGAATAAATGTTCAAAAAACAACTAGGATAGAAAATATTCAGCATTTCCATTTGGTAAGGATTTCTCATTACCGCACTTGATAAAGAAACGAGAGATTTTCTTTCCTATGCCACTAAAATCAGAGCTGTAAGGGATCACAGATAGAGGAATCTGGAATAGCATGAAAAGTTAGCCTCATTTATATTTATGAAATCCAACTGTCATTCATATACATGTAAATGTAAGTAATTCAAAGGTCTGTAGTTCCAAATTATTTTCAAGTGTCGTATTGCATTTTCCAGACATTAACTTAATTGTCCTCGTCTTCAGGAAGTAATCTGAGTCTAAAAACCCTGATATTACCCTATAGAGTTAATCTAATTTGATGATTAAGACACCTGAACAAGAACAATTACAAAGATAACTAAATATATTAACTAGGGCTTCCCTGGTGGCGCAGTGGTTGAGAGTCCGCCTGCCGATGCAGGGGACACAGGTTCGTGCCCCGGTCCGGGAAGATCCCACATGCCGTAGAGTGGCTGGGCCCGTGAGCCATGGCCGCTGAGCCTGCGCGTCCGGAGCCTGTGCTCCGCAATGGGAGAGGCCACAGCGGTGAGAAGCCTGCGTAAACTAAACTGTTAACTAAAAATGAAATAACTGAAATCATTAGGAAGGTTTCCCTGGGTTGATACTTCCTAAAGGAAAAATACTATTTAAACTGTCAGCAACAGGCTACAGGGATGAACTAGAAACCTAATAAAAAGTCACCTGAGCATTTTTTTTTCAATAAACAGCTTTAAATCTATTGTCACTTGAGTAAAATTTCTACTCAATGGAAGTAGCTCCTTGAGAACAAAACTCCAAAGTTAAAAATTAACTGAACATCTGAATTAAATAATTTTGAGATCAGGTCACACAGTTGATTTATACTAGTATGTGGGAAAATAGTTACCTCTCTGGCCCTATTTCCTAGAAAAATAAATCAACAAAATAAGAAAAAGGGCGATGAGTAAGATTTTTACAAAGAACTGCAGGTTACATGATTTAGTACTTGGAAAGCATCCCACGACTTCCTCAAGTGGCTAAACCAGTTTTTGAAGTTGCTGCCACCTTGTGGTACATTGTTGAAACCACAGCAGGTTACATATTCTACAGCAAGTCAACATTTTTCTTTGTTACAACTTAACATTGTAGGTAAAGACTAATCAATACAGGACTGCAGTTTTCAAATCAACAGAAGTGTTCACTTAAGTCAGTGGGTTTAAATTCATTTCAGTTCAGTAGAAATTTTTAAAATCGCACTATTTTATGAAATCCTAACCCATCCTCTAGCTGGTGTCTTTATTGTATCATTTCATGTAAGGCCGAAGCACCACAGATCATAGTTGGGATGGGGTAGGGGGTGTAATGAACTGTCCAGCCCATGTCATCACCTCAGACCGCCGAACTGAGTTGCTGACTTTGAAATTACTCTCAGCCTACCCTCTGGGGACTCTACTACTCATGGAAACATCTGGTGGTTTTTGCTTCCTTTTTTAAAAAAATACTACCACTCTGACTTGGCTGTTTCTGGCCGTTGCCCTGGGCCATGGCATGTCGCATTCTGGATCTAACACTGGACTCAGACTTGTATATACAAAACAAACCAGACTTGGTTTTGAAACCACCATCTGTTTAGGCAAGCCAGCCCAGCCTCACAGCAGTGAATAACAAATGCCAGTTGGGGTCTTGCTGAAGTTCAGTGCCCTGGTGCCCACCCTCAGCAGCCCCAAGCTTCAGCCCAAACCACTCTGGCTGCATGATGACCATGCACTGGGTAGCTGCTAACTCAGCCCTCAGTGAGGAATATTTAGTACTGGGTGTGAAAACAAGAGCCGTTACAGCTCATCAGAAAGGCCAGGATGTGTTCTCTTGCACTGGAGTTATCTGCAGGAGAGCCCGTCCAGTCAAACTGGCTCAAGTTTTTTCTCAAAATACATATCTTGGAAGGGACACAGGACAAGTGTAGCAACTGAGTACAGCCACACCAGGAAACTCAATCCCTAACGTTTTTCTTGCTGCAGACGGAGGCCAGCAGTGCCAAGATATGGCAATGTCGCCACCTGCTGGCTCCATGGTAAAGTATAACTATGGGACGAAACTCCCAAGCACCAGTGGCCTGTCATTCCCCTCCAGCCTCTAAATTCAAATGGTCAACCCAGTACCTGCCTTGATAAAGTAACTGTGTCTTCGTATTTACATGTCACAGGCACTGTGGCCAAGTTCTCCAGGGGCCTTACCTCATTTAATTTTCACAACCACCCTGTAAGATGGGCCCTATAGTGTAACACCCATTTTATAAAAGAGGAAAGAGAAACACAAAACTTAAAAGAAATTTGTCCGAAGAGCAAATTATAAAGAGCAAAGCTGAGATTGGAACCCAGGTCTTTCACACTCAACCACTATGATGCACTACCTCCCAGTATCCCCTGGAATCCTTGATAAACACCACAACCTATTAGAAATTTGTCTCCATGTTATGAAGAAACTGATCCTCAGAGTTCAAGTTCTGGACCAAGGTCACAGAGCAAGCATGGAAACAGCAACTCTGGGCACCTGAGTGAACCACCTTGGAAGGGTGGGGGCTGTCCATGCATGATCTCATGCATACTTACCAGGCTTCCTAGGCCAGAGGCATCGCCTTCAGTCCAAGCAGTCCTAGGAATGCTTAGGAAAAGTGTTCAAGGTCTGAGGTGGAATTTCTGGGCCAATTCTGCCCAGCCAGGACTTCTTCACTACACAAGATAAAGTTCTGAAATAAGGACTCCCTGGTCCATCAAGGCCATTGCTAGATTTTAACAGCAAGTTGATTCATCCCACACTTTTCCGCTTGCAGACCACCAAGTCAAACTCCTCAAAAAGAAGAGATGGTTTGACTTCCTCTCTGAGACTGTGTAAGCATTTTATCTAAATGTTGGCTTACCCAGCCAGAATGGTTACTTCCAATGATGCCCAAAGGGTTCACACCAACCCCTACTCTGTGTCCACTTCCCCTGGTACCAGCCACAGGAGATTTAACATACCCCACTTGGTTTCAACAGCCGCTCACCATCACTTTATACTACATGGAGGAACCATGTAGTATACTACATGGAGGAACCTAGCACCCCATGAAGTGGAGAATTTCATTCTTTTCTTACGGCTAATATTCCGTTGTGTATATATATACCACTTCTTTATCCTTTCATCTGCTTATGAGCACTTAGGTTGCTTCCATCAACATTTGTTATTTGTAGACTTTGATGATAGCCATTTTGACAGGTGTGAGATGATCTCATTGTGGTTTTGATTTGCCTTTCTTTGATGATTAGCCATCATCAAAGGGCAGGATTTGACTATTTTTGGAAATAGGGTCTTTGAAGAGGTAATTAAAATTAAATGAGGTCTTGGTGGGGGGAGTGCTAATCCAAAATAACTTCAGGTTCAGAACATCTGTAGTTTTTATTTAACCAACCTCTCCTTGCAAAGTCAAGGTATTATTCTAATGGGCAGACACCTTCTTTGAAGATACAGTTCACCTCCGGAAGTGGTCAGTGACTTTTTGAGGAGGATTTTCCTCAAAGCCTATTGTACTCTGTAGCACTCTCCTTCACCTGTGGAAGGACATAGGATTCTTCCTGGTGCTCCTCCTGGGTCAGCTGCTGGATACTAGAATCCCTGGGGAGCTTTCAGTACCAAAGCCCAGGTCCCAGATTCCAAATATTCTAATTGAGCAAGACAGAGTTATTTTTCTTAAAGCTCCTCAGGTGGTTCTAATGTGTAGCCATAATTGAGCATCCTTGCTCTAGGGCCCAGATCATCAATTTCTAAAATCTGGGCATCATAGGCTGAATAATGGCTCCTGTAAGAGAGCCTGTCAGTATTCTAATTACGAGAACCTGTGCATGTTACCTGTGTGATTAATGATTCTGAGATGGGGAGATGATTCTGGATTATCTGGGTGGACCCTAAATGTAATCACAAGGGTCCTTTTAAGAAGGTCGAATGAGGAAGAAGGCGATGTGATGATGGAAGCAGGGGGAGAAAAGGCGATGTAATGTAGGGCCCAGAGCCAAGGAACGCTGGTGATCTCTAGAAGCCGGAAAAAGCAAGGATACATTCTCCCTTAGATCCTCCAAGAGGACCTGCCCTACTGACATCTTGATTTTAGCTCCACAGGACTCATTCTAGACTTCTGACTGCTAGAATTCTTAAGCGACTACACCTGTGTTGTTCTACGCCATCCAGTTTGCGGTGGTTGTGAGAGCAGCCAAGGAAACTAGTTCACTAAGAAACACCTGAGGAACTTGTTAAAAATGCAGATGCCCAGCCTTTCAAAGCTCCATGGCCAATGGTTATCACATTTTAGCGGGTACCTGAATATACTGAGGCTCTTGAAAATCCAATTTGCTGCCCACCTCCCCATTTCAGATTCAGCAG